ACAATCCCAGGACTCGCCGGGTCAGGTTTGGGTGAACTCGGGCCAAGAGTGGACAGGAAAGAGGTATCGCCAAAGGCGTCTCCTCCCCTGCCGATGTGCATCGTGTGACGAAAATCACCCAGCGGGGCTGAGATCATGGTAGGGTCCAGGCGAGAGGCCCGGGATGATTTGTGGAGTGGCATGACTGTGAAGAAAGGCAGGTAAAGGAAGGAAGAAGGCAAAAATGAAAAGGAAGGATGAATTATTCAATTGTTTTGTTATGACAGCACTTCCTGAATGAAGACACAAAAAGAACAACAACTAGTGAATGAACAAAAAGTTCAAAAAGCACGTGTACAATGGAGGGCTCCAGTGATAGGACAGGCCAGTCTGAAAATCCACCATGTTGTGCAATATTGTGGGAAACCAGTGAGCGTTTTGGCACTGGTGCAGCTGTGAAGGCCATGCTGAGACTTGTACTTGAAGAACACTATGCAAAGTTAGCACATACTTTTCTCTGCCCTCAGGGGTGTTTGTAGACAAAACCACGGTTAAACAGTTTCTACAAAAGTAGATCTCTAAGTTAAAAACAACCGGTGGACATTAGATTAAACCCTGCTCCTGCTGAGATCATTATAACATTATTTAATTAAAAAGAAGGGCTAATTAATGGAATAAGCGCTAGCCATTACTGCACATTATATTTGTTAATCTCTCGAGTCACCTTTATAACATGTTATACACTCTGACTGAAGCCAGTCTCCACGTTTGGCTGCAGTTATGGGTTTAGCAGGGGAGGGGGGCTGCAGGCCTGTAAGCCCAACCCTCAAAGTTTTCCAATAACAATTCAAAGTAAATGTTCTTTAGATAAATATACAGCTCTAAGAAGTATTGGTAATGGGAGATGCGGCTATTGATAAACCAATCAGAGAAGCGTGTGGATCAATGTAAAACTCAGCTTATCAACTGAGTGTGGGCGCCACCAAAACATGTAAAGTATTTAGAAAAAAAAACTTACTTTAAAGCGTGAACTCTGGTCTTTGGTTGGCTCCCTCTCCACTCTCCAGCTTTTTCATCTGGCTTTTCGCTTTCGCTTCCCTCTCAACTTTTCCCTCGCTCTTTTTTCTCGCCGTCGTCCGCCTGTGTGAGTTTTCTTTTTCTTTTTTTTTCCTCCAAAGGGATGGGCACGGGCTGAGGAAGTGACGCGCCAGTTATTGGAGCGAGCTGGATCAAAGTGCTGACGACTCTATCGCACAGTGTTAAATATAAACCAGACCCACGAACGGGACCTGTCTGCTGCCCGGTTTGTGTTCACAGTTAAACTGATTCAGAGTTTCTGTGAATGAGTGAGTTTAGTTACAAATGTAACGAATGGCTCCTGTCACGAGGTGTGCGTGTGTTTGATCTTTTTAAGGGAATGTTGCCAAAATGTAAATACTGCTAAAGAAAAGAAAAGAAAAAACAGAGTCCTGCTCACTAACCACACATTGGGGTTCGTTTCTTCTCATTTTAATTGAAGGACCACCTAACTTTTTAATAGCTAGCAAATTGCTTCTGTAGCTTTATTTACTATTAAAATAAAATAGAAATGTATAATATAAAAAATATGAACGAAATAATCGTTTTATCTTTTTTTTTTTACATTTATTGTGTTTTGTGCTATATAAGACTATATACACTGTATACAAAAGATCTTTAGTTATTAGCTTGTTTATTTTGTTTTATTTCACTTTTTTCTATTTGATTAAGGTCATTTGTTTTATTTATTTCTTTATTATTTTTTTAACAGTTTATTATTTTTTTCCCCTTATTGAGATTAGATTCGTCATATTGATTTTTTTCTAATTTAGCTCTATATTTACTGATTTCAGTTCTTGGATTATGGATTGTGTTTTATTTTTGGCTGTTATAGCACAGTATTTTCCCAACTTTGGGCACATCTTAAGTCTTTTCTCATCTTACTCTCTACTGTCCAACTTTCCAACCTTTACCACTCAACCCCAACCATCTCAACCTCACCAGACTCCAGCTCTTATTTGTTGTTTCCATATTTCATTTCTCCTAGCTATTTGGGATTAATTGGGTTTGATAAGCAGAGAAACAAAGCATCATCTAAGTAGTGCACTTGTTTGGCTTCATTTTAAGATGAGGATTAATAAAAAAAATTCTTAAATGTGGCAGTTCTTTCTAGAGAAATCAGAAATTACTCATGAACACAACACAATCCAATTAATAGACAGAGCTGTCTTCATATTCCCCGATTTAAGATTAAAAGCTCTTATTTATCAATGTAAGTGTGACATATGCTGCTGTAGTGCTCTGTTGACCAATTAAAAATTGTACAACTTTATCAAAAAAAACTTGTCCAAGATTGCTAAAATGCTTCAATTCCTAGACAAACAGCACCTCAGTTTTACCTTCTCTGTGCTGTGTTGACATCTTGCACACTGTTTTAACTCAGTTGAGCTACACAAGCAGCAAACAATTTTGATGTCATGCTGAATGATGTAGGGTGGACAGAATACCTGCAATTATGTTTCCAAAGGAATGCAGTCACACAGGCCGGTTGACACACTCATATTTTTGAAGGGTTTCCACCTTATAATTACTTCACATAGCTAACCACATCATTTACATGTGCACTAAGTCAGGATTCATCTTTTTAAACTAAAAAAAAAGGCCAGACAAACCCTGACTTTGGGCCGACAACGGGAGTAAAGCAGAGATGCTTTTTAGGATAGTATCAGACTTCCTCCCCTGGGTAAAAGCAAACAGAAACATTACCACAGCAAGGTATTCATACAATAGGACCAGTTACTGAGTCATTGTGAGTGATTTCTCGTCACAAATGCCAAACATAGTTTGGTGATGATGTAGCCAACGAGCTGCTCACTCAGCCTTAGGCACATTTTCCTTCACCGTGAGAAATGAGAAATGAGGTATTTGTTTTCAAAAGCTGCACCCTTAAAATGAGATTACTCGTTGAAGGCCTACTTTTTACTTTACATTTAAGATGAAAAGGAGCACTTCTGTTTTTTTTACTTAATGTGTCAACAATAAAAGCAACGCAGCAGCATGTCTTTCTTTCCTTATCAGAGTTTAATGTTTGATAGCATCATGCCCCCAAGATTAACCCCATGATTTCTCCTTTAACACACATCACGACTTCATTGTATGCTGACATGTATGATGATTTTCAGAAATGTTCATTCAAGAGAGTCTTTAGAAGACTCTCTTGAATGAACATTTCTGAAAAGTGTGTGTGTGTGTGTGTGTGTGTGTGTGTGTGTGTGTGTGTGTGTGTGTGTGTGTGTGTGTAGTGGTGGGGGGATTTCTGGAAACGACTAAGGCAGGAAATGACTCGCCTCCCCTCAGTAGTACTCACACTAGCACAAACACACATCCTGCAGCTGTGTGTGCTTCACGGGAAGTCAAAGGGGAAAAATGGATCATGAGAACTGTAAAAAAAAAAGCTACTGTTGCCCATCATTGATTAAAATAAGAGCTGCCCTCATTACTCATTGCCAGACATGGTCAACTGTGGTGAAACTTGTTGAATGTCGTGAATAAAAACTGACACTGGTGCTGATAATATGATTAATTTGGGGGCTCTGTATAAGTAATTGTTGATTGATATTAGCGATGACTTCTTCTTTCAGATGCTCCCTTTAGGGGTCGCCACCTCTGCCTCCTCCTCGGTCACACGTACCCCCTGCATGTCCTCCTTCATTACACGTCTTCACTGTGGCCTTCCTCTTTTCCTCCTGCCTGGCAGCTCTGTATTCAGCATCCTTTGTCCGGTACATCCAGTCCAGTTTTGCCTGAGCTGTCCCTCTGATGTGCTTGTTCTTTAACTCTTCCAACTCCAGCTGTCTTTGTGTTAATGACACCACCTCCAAACCACACATCACAGTAGGTTTGACCATCACCACTGCAAACAATAACTCGGAGCAGACCCCTGTTGTAATCAGCAAATGTAATCTGCTGTCCTCATACATGCCCTGCACCACCCTCACATACTTCACCCACTCAGGGTGGCAGCAGGCCATGTGAACTCGACGGGTAACCGACTTTGACTGTAGTACACTCACAGAAAAATGTTGCCACAGTTGTAGTGCAGAAATATCTGTTAGATTACAGAGACAAATAGGAGAGACTTTTCTGCAAAAGTGGGATCACTGAAGTCACCACAATGTCCTCAACAGGTTTCCATTTCATTTGTTTTGCAGTTTTCGATAGGCTTATGCTTTAAAACCTGCGTGCAAGCTCATGAATGACCTATTTATAGTTTCAAAGCGACACGAGGGGTACTTCCCCTCAGCATGATGGTTGCAGAAGGACTAAACTACTGTTAACTGAATAATTATACTGAGCTCACACTAACATCCAGTTGGTAAAATGGATGTTTATGTTTTCATTACCAAACTATATGAATAAGTATAACTCATTGTTGAAGTCAGTGACTGTAATGGACCCCTGAGACCTACTGACTCTGGTGACAGACTGATGTGTATGGAGTGGAGTGGAGATGGACAGATACTGTGAAAAATGTCTCAACTTCTTGTGTTGACGCTTACATCTATTGTATTTATAGCCTCTAATACATTTAATCAATAGAAGTTAATAAAAAGTGCTTTAAAATAGGCCCATTTATATTTCAGCCCCCCCCCCCCAAACAAACCGTTTTAAAATACATGAAAAGCTGAAATATATGTTTTGCTGCATTAACTACCTTACGTGAATTATTAAAACGTATTCAGAATTTGACACACTGCTCGTCCCAACATAAGCTACCTTTATGGGCTAAAAGTATCTGTTATTGGTATTTACGTGGTGGCGGATCGATACTAAAATTCACAGTTTCGTAAAGAATTAAAATGAGAGTCTAACCATATCCGGTTTAAGGTTTGATTGGTGTAGTTGATAGAGGATAGAGAAAAACGTTCCGTGTGCTCAGCACTGCAAGGCGTTACTCTTGGAAAATTCAACCAATAACAAAACAGCAAGGTGTCACGTGACTTGGCAGGTTTCGCCTAGCTGCCATTTTGTATCTCCACTGTGCGGTCAGATGAAGTTGGTCGTCAACGAACGAGGGACGAAATAAGATGAAATTTATGCTATTTTATTAATTGGGACATCTTGCAGAAGTATATTTAAGTGTGATATATTTAGTTAGGCTGTGTTGTTCGAGGTCGACCGGCTGTTCTTCTTCTAACCGGACCGTTGGCCCTCGCCTCGGACTTCATCTTGTTTACATTCTACAGCGGAAAAGCTAACGCTAACGCCGTTAGCCAACCTGCTAGCTTAGCTGGCAGACAACTTTCCTTGCGTTAGCTTTCTAACGCTAAACATAGCGAAATGGCGGCCAACACGACACAAGCAGCCCCTACAACTAACTGGTAGGCAACACTCTTTGAACAGATTGTGATTTTAGGTTAACTTGCTTTAATGTATGACTGAAATAGGTATTTATACCCTAATCTTAAATTCGTGGGAAGGATGTTAGCTTAGGCCAGGGTGTTGGCAAGTACTAGCAGGCCGTTGGAGTAGTTAGCAGAAAGGTGATTTGTTAAGATGCTTGTTTTTTTATACATTATTTGTGAACATGTAATATTTTTGATTGAACGCCAGGGTTTGTTGCACCTCACTCTAATGTTGTACGTTGATGTTAGCAAGCGACAGTTGCGGTTTTAGGGTAGGCCTTAATTCATCAGCTGTTTTGGCTGTTAGCTGTTGCTTTAAACGTAATGATTTAATCGTCTGCTTGAGATGATCTAATTAGCTGATAGATATCCGGTGTTAACAGAGGGAGGGTAGACTTGTTGTGTAAACGGGTAATGATTAAATGATCAACATTTTGAGCACAATAGTAATCGTCAAGTAGGCCTTCAATCTATTTTCTGAAGCGAGCAGTTGTCTAAACGAATATAAATCTTATTGCAGACGGTAATTGGGCTTACTTCTGTTTTTCTGCTGATTAAATGGGTTTGATCATGTGTTCTGATCACTAGAATAGACTTGATACTTGACCTTTTGTTGATGGCAGGTCCTATGGTGCTGCTGCAGACGGCCAAGTCCATGAAAATCCTGAATGGGAGAAGGCAAGACAAGCATTAGCATCCATCAGCAAGAGTCAGACCTCTGCTAAGACTACACAACCTAACAGGACCGCTGCAGAGGTTTGTCTTTTTGTGCAGTCTGTTTGTTACACCTGAATATACCTGTACCATATCATATAGTCTCCATTATAGCTATATAAATTTCTGTATGATACAAAAATATTAGAATATTCATATTCTGATATTGCCTTAGCAATCTCATGCAGTTAATTCCCTAGTGAACATCAGTGAGACAAGCTCCAGGCACGTCTTGAGAGCCTGAGCTGCATGACAGCCTCCAGTGATCTAGCACCTACAAAGCGAGCCACTTGAACATCCTCCAACAAGCTTAATATTTGCAAAATATTCACCTTGCAATATAAATTGCCTTGAGGCAACTGTTGTTGTGACTTGATTTCACTTAAACAATTTTATTTTCAGTTTTAGTGTAGTGCAGCTCTTGAAGAGTTACAAGGCTGTTATTTTAGTTAAACCAAAGTGTTTAATAGTTATTTTATATCTTGTTGCATGCTCAGTCATCCATGTAAAGAAAATCCGGAAAGTTGATTCTGTCGCATTTTCATGAGGACAAATGTTTTGTCACTCATCCAAGCGACTTCCTCAGTCTTGGCTGAATGCAGGTTTCCCCCACCTTATAAACAGCACATTTGCATAATGACCAAATCTAGTGCCTAACAATAGGCTGTGAGTTCAGTTTCATGATCATTGGTCAATGGCCACAAGTACCATTCAGACTTAACATGAGTTTGTCACTTGAGACTATTATCATGTAATTTGTGGCTGTTTCAAAAACCAGAAATGTATGTAAGGATGAGTAAAGTAAAATCCATTTTAGCATTTTAGTTTTTGTCAGTCCTATTGCTCCTCCATTGGGGGGAGGCCAAAACCTTCCATGTTTTTTTTTTTTTTTTTTTTTTTTTTTCTTCATATGCAGGACAATCCTTGTGTAAATAAAATGATTGAAAAGTAAGTCTAGAGTGCCAATTGAAGGGGGGGGGGATTCTGTGAAGAAGAATGGGGATTAGCTTGAATACTAGCAAGGATGTCCTAGGTTTTTAGGGTTACAGTGGTGATCACTGATAATGACCTAATTATATTGTTCACAGCAGTTAAAGCACTGAAACCTCCTACTTACTGACCTAATCAGATTTAACTGTGAGTTTGTGTTTATGTTGTGTGTATATATAGAAATACTTTCTACACATAGCAAAAACATCAGATAAGCAATACTAGATTGTAGTTCTAGTCTGACTTATGTGTTGTTAATGATATATTAGAATATATTGTTGGCTTCTGCATTTGCAGATGTTTTACAGCTTTCCTTGGGGCTTGACTGCACCAACTAACAAAATCATAGCTGGCTCAACTCCCGCTGCCAGTTCCTTTTAGTACCTTCTTTTATTGCTCTTCGGATTAATTATTTACAGAAAGAATTCTCAAAGATGCAGGCTGTTAAATTCCCAAAATTAAATAAAAATATTGCTCCCTAGAAACAGTAATGGCCACAGTATTCATCCAGTAGCACAATCCTACTTGAATAATGGTCTTATTAAAACTAGACAACATAAAGATGTCTTATGTATGATGAAGCTTTCTTGTAGTACAGACCCCAGGTATTAACCTTTTTAAAGTGTCTTATCAACTGTTTTATTGGTTTCACAAAGGTGAAGTTTTATGTTCACACTGCACTATAATTGCTGTCTGTGTTGGACTATGTTTTCTCAGTTCCTGGTGGTAACACTGAAGCTATGTTGCGTGTGTCTGTTATTTCAGGCTGGCCAATTCCAACCAGCAGCAACTGACTCTGCTGCTATGCAGCAGCAGCAGTACTATCCGTGGTACCAGCAAACTCAGCAGCACTATCCTGGATATACATACTCCTATAACTACTACTACCCCATGGGGCCAGTAAGTAAAGATATGAGCACTGCTGCTTTCATTTGGAGAAGTTTTGTACAGTTACACTTTTTACAAAAACTGAATTTAAAGTGAGAAATATTATAAAATGTCCTTTTCTGAATTTCCAGTATGGTGGTGCCTATCCTCCAAATCAGTATGGTGTACCCCCAGGGCCTTACCCAGGAACTCCTACGTCTAATGGACAGGTACAAAATCTACATTTTCTTAGTAAAGCAGAATATTTATATGTAGAAATGATTAATATGATTCATGATACTTATCTGGGATTAAGAAACCTGAAAAATAAGCACATATTCAGGCACCACTGAAGCTGTAGTAGTGTTACAGGTTATATGTTTTTTTTTTTTAAGTATTGCGTTTATTCTGCAGATACATGTGTAGCTTGCTTATGCTTGCAAAGTTTCATTTTTGCTGTAGTGCTGAAACAGGTTTTTCTGTCTTTTTACAGCCTCCCCCAGTGCCTGGAATGGAAGATCAGTCCCCCAGCTACACCTCCCCAACTCAACCTCAACCACCTCCCCCTGCTACTCCTCAACCACCCCAGAGCCCAACCACCTCAGAAAACCCCCCTCCTCCACCACCCCCTCCCATTCCCCCACCACCCAACTCCCAGTACCCCCCTCCCCCATCACAAACTTCTTACAATACCAACAACAGTATGACATACCCACCTGGAGACCCCAACCAGATGCAAGTCTACAATCATTCACAGGGAAGGCCTAACTATGGACAAAACTTCCAGGCTCAGAATGCCTATCAGGCATCTCAGAATAATTCCCAGCAGCAACAACAGCCTGCTCAGTATGCAGCTGGACTGGGCAGAGGAGAAGCCAACAAGAACAAAAACCAGAAGCAAGGACAGCAACTCTGGCACCGCATGAAACGTAAGGTTTATTGTCTTGCTGGGAAGCTTACATTCCTAATGTTAACTTTATTGATTTATTACAGAGTTTAATGGATGTGTTGCTGCTTTTGTTTTCATTCTATCCCCCTCTTTTCATTGTATTCAAGTGCAGTGTGTAGATGCACCATATTCAAACAAGTTAAAAACTTGTTAGGCCATTAAATGCAGAAATAGAGTAGGAGACTAAGTGTTTGTGGTGATCAGTCTAGCAGTGTTCATCCAAATTCAAAAATATGTAAAGGAATAAGTTGCTATTGCTATTATGAGAGTGAGTTTCAGTTACAATTCTATGATTTTTACATCTTGTAGAGGCACCTGGCACAACTTCTGTGAAGTTCAATATTCCCAAGAGGACCTATCAGGTATCCCCAGTTTCCAATCAGGCTTTCCCTCCAGGCGAACAGCCCCCGGGGTTGAATCCAGCACCTTCATCTCCTGCTACTGCCAGTGCTGCACCTGGAGGTCCTCAGGCACGGTGAGAAAACTGCTCTGTCTACAGTAATTCTTGATCTGGGAATGACTTGATGACTTTAAATGTAAATGCTTCTCCTCCAGACCGCAGGACTGGCCGCAAGCCATGAAGGAATATGTGCAGCGTTGTTTCACAGCTTGTGAGACAGAGGAAGACAAAGATCGTACGGAGAAGGTGCTGAAAGAAGTTCTACAGGACCGCTTAAAAGATGGCTCTGCTTACACCATTGATTGGACCCGTGAGCCACTGCCAGAGTGAGTTCAGTAGTAGGTTGTGGTTGTAACTACTTTAGGCATTGGAATTCTGCTTTTGTTTTTTGTTTTGCATTCAAACTGTATTCATCTTTCTCTTCTCCTTTTTTAGGTTAAAGGTTAAGCAGTCTCGTTGGGAAAGCATTGCACCTCAGAGGACAACAGATACCTCAGTTGGCTGTGGTGGAAGCACAGTGGCTGGAGCTTCAAGAGGCAGAGGTATTGGACACAGATTGGGCAACTACAGGAATATCTTTTCTCAAAGGAGTCCAACTTCTAGTTCATCCAATTCCTCCTCCCGCTCACCATCACCTTCGCATAGCCGGCACAGGGACCGCAGCAACCAAAGGCACAGACGCAGGTATGGAACCATTTCTCCTCCTCTCTTTGGTTATTGTAGTTTTCCTGCATGCTCCCAGCTCAAATGTTCTCCTGTTTGTTTCCTGCCAGTGATTCTGATTCACAGTCAGATAGCAGCATCTGCAGTGACCTCCGACCTCAGCTTTCAAGGCGAGGTCAGAAAGGAGGGCGTGGTCGTGGCAATGATCGGGATAGAGGGCGTGGAGGTGGTGAGAGAGGACGAGGAAGAGGTGGAAAAGGAAGAGGAAGACGGTAAATTTATAAAGTCTTGTATCGTTGTTTAGCAGAAAGAAAACATTTTTGTTTTGTCTTTTTAAGTTGCTTTATGGTGCTGATAGTTAGTATACCTTCTTTTCCCCAGAAACATGGAGGATTCAGCTGTTGGAAAGAAGAGGAAAGGTGGCAGTGCTGGTTTGGATTTCCACGATCCCAACAGAGAAGCTAAGAAGCAGAGCCGAGCAGCCCGTTTCCAAAAACAGCTTCGCTCAGAGCCTCTGGTTCTCTCCATCAATGCCCTGGACCTGCCTGATGGAACACAAGAGGGCCTTAGTTGGGAGGACTGCCCCATTGTGGGAACATGTCAGGACATCACCAAGCACTACCTGAGGCTCACCTGTGCCCCTGACCCCTCCACTGTGCGCCCAGTGCATGTAAGTGTCAAGGTTTTTTTTTTTGGTTTTTTTTGTTTTTTAATATAATCTCATTCTACTTGTGCATTTTGCTTTTAAATTCAGATACAATGTCCACTTGCATTATAAAATCATTTTGTCAAGAGAACAAGGAATTCTTTTGAAATATATTCTTGAATAAGGATTTTTTTTTTCTTACAATATTGAAGGAAAATCTCCCAAGGACAGAGGAAGGGGAACTGAATCTGTGCACTACATGTACATACTCCTAAATCCCTGCATCACAGGGCATCAAGATTCAGGCTTTAAATGGTTTAACTGTCATTCTAGGTGCTGAGAAAATCTTTGCAGGCTGTGAAAGCCCACTGGAAAACAAACCAGGACTATACATATGCCTGTGAGCAGATGAAGTCCATACGACAGGACCTAACGGTTGGTTGTCCTGAAATGCTATTTATTTTTTCAAAGTTAATTGATGTCTTTGTTATTTTATTCGTTCATTCATTGATTTTATTCCTCTTACCTGCACCTAGGTTCAAGGAATTCGTACTGAATTCACAGTGGAAGTGTACGAGTGTCATGCACGGATAGCTCTAGAAAAGGTGAATCTGTTGTTCCTCAGTAATTACAGACTACTTAAAAGTAATAAAGTGTTTTTGTTTTAAACTGGTTGAATGCTTATCTGTTTGTTTGTTTATTTATTTATTTTAGGGAGACCATGAAGAGTTCAACCAGTGCCAGACCCAGCTGAAGGCCCTGTATAAGGACAATCCCTCAGAGAACATTGGAGAATTTACAGCATATAGATTGCTGTATTACATCTTTACTAAAAACTCTGGAGGTATGCTCAGATCTTTTTGGAAGTCTTCACCACTGCACTGAACATTGTGGGATTTTTTTTTTTGTTGTTGTTTTGTTTTAACTATATTTACAAGTTTCTCTGTCTCAGTTTCTGACACTGGCCATTCATTCATCTTCCCCCTGCAGATCTAACCACTGAGTTGGTGTATTTGACCCCAGCACTACGGGCAGATGATTGTGTGGCTCATGCCCTCTCACTTCGTGCAGCTTGGGCATTAGGAAACTATCACCGGTTCTTTAAGCTCTACCTGGAAGCCCCGCGTATGGCTTCATATCTCATTGACAAGTTTGTAGAGCGTGAAAGAAAGGCAGCACTTAGGGCCATGGTCAAAACGTAAGTTATGCTCCAGTAACATGCTAATTGTAAATTTTAGCTGCTTCATTGCTGACCAGTTTCCTGACCCGTTTGCCTATTTTCTCTGTCCACAGGTTCAGACCCGACTTGCCAGTGCAGTATGTGCAGTCCACCTTAGCCTTCTCTTGTTTAGACTCCTGTATGGCCTTTTTAACCGGGCTAGGAGTCACATTCACGCCTTCTGATCCCCAAAAAATAGACTGCAAAACCAGCACAGCCTCTTTGGCTGCCTCCTGAGAGGGGTGGAAGGGTAGCACAGTGAAAGGAGTGGCTAAGGGACCATCATGGATCCTTACATATTCAATTCAATGCACTGCACTGCACTTCAGATACCACAGCGAGTTCAGATAAGAGCAGTGGCAGACTAACACCCATATAGAAAGATGCTGGCTAGTGTATTACTCTGTCAGGCCAAAAAATGCAGATCTGTTTTTCTGACACTAAGAACTGTTCTGAAAATGCACAGAACTGCACATACTGTCACTCACATATTCTAAGTTTAGCCCATCTCATTACATTTATGATGCCACATAAGTGAGGGAACAGATTAGACCTGAGATCAAGTAGTCTTAGTGACTGAGAAGTCACAGAACCAGATCACGGTTCCTGTTCCGTTACCACCTTCAGATTTCAACGCTAACAGTGTTGTTATGTCTTTTCCTTCCCAAGTCAGCAGCTCAAAGACCAGAAGATTCAACTTTTACCAAAAGGGAAACGGCTTTTCAAGTCATGCATCCAGCTCTTCACTGTCTGAAGTCAGACCTGCAAAATCAAGTCAAGTCTAGCTTCATTCTTACAGACTCAGAGAAGATGCCAGCAATTTACCTGAAAGAAGAGGTGGTTTGTATGCCCTTCCCGCATCTAGTTTCCTCCTCAAATCTACAGCTGGCTGTTCCTCCCATTTGTCTCTACAAGGTCTGTGAAAGAAACTGAAGTCTAAAGTCCCGTTCCTGATTTAGTATTATTCATCCACTGCTCATGTTTATGAATTGGTCGATCAGCACTTAAACAAGTCTCGGATACGCATTGACTTTGTAACGGATAAGTGTTCCTCATCAAGATCAAGTTCCATGACCTGGAAGCTGAGCTTCATGTTCCAGAGTAGCCCCAGGCAGAGTGCAGTTCTGCTTCCATCACCCTCAGGTAGAAGTTCCTACCAGCACCTGGTGTCCAGCTCACCCTGTCAAATGCAGCAGTGCACCTCTGTATCCTCACCAGCTGTTCCTCAGAAAATAATGGTGACGTCACAGCTGACACCTTGGATGTAGCTGAAAGTTAGTTGGTTTTTTTTTTTTTTTTTTTTGGTTTTTTTTTTGAGGTGGAGCATCAAAGGAAGACCTGCAGCTTCTTCAGGAAGGCTTAAAAAGTGGTTTGTATACTACACGCAAGGCTGGTAAGAGAAAGGGACTCTTCTGGAAGGAGGTGGATGACCGCACAACAGAGATGTTGCCTCAAGTTTTTGTTTGTTTTTTTGTTTTTTCCCAACTTGTTTTACATCTTGTGGGTTTATCACTTATCAGTATTTGGCATTCTCTTGTGCAAAAGGAAAAATTATGGCGGTGGAATCAGAATTTTATTTTTTAAATTATATACTTCGTAATGATTTTTGGACAGTCCACGTGTCATTAAAAAATTAAACAATATCCTAAAATCCCAGAATTTTTACTACACAGATGGAAGCTGCTGTCTCTGAGTATTGCAATCAAAACATGAATTTAAAGTGGTACAGACAGCAGTGAAATAAAGAAGTAGTTTGAGTCCAGGCAAGTGCTTTTATGTCCATTTTTTCCCCAGAAGATATGAAATTTTTAACAAAAGGTTTGAAATGGGAGCCTCAGTTTAGTATTTAAAAAAACAAAACAAGATAAACAAGCTCTCTAAGTGGCTGTGGAGTTGATTCTCTGTACTTTGTGCTTTTTAGGACCCAGTTTAGTAATATTGATGGTATATTAACAACCCTTTAGACAATGGGGAAATTCAGTTACGCTGAAAATGGCGATTGATCAGCTCCTAAGTGTAAGGAAAATAATCCATGTGTTGCTTTTCACCAGCAAAGCATCTGGTCCTAATTGAGTTGTGCTGAAAATGTGTAGGTGGTCAACATTGTTCCTCCTTTTTTTTTTTTTTTTTTTTTTTTTTTTTTTTCTTCTTCTAAATTAATATCAGTATTAACCGCTGTAGGAACATTGAGTCTGACATTGAGTATTTAATCCTGTTTTGATTGATAAGAACAGGAATGGATTCAGGCTTAATGTAAAACCTCCACGTTTACTTATTAACAGAGTATACTTTGTAAATACTGTATGATAATTGATGTGATTTCTTTTTAGTACACCGTGTAGGTTTTTTGTTTTGTTTTGTTTTTTGTTCACACATGGGTAAGTGTGAATGTTTTTTGTTTGTTTTTTCTTTGTTCATACAACTATTGAACAAATTTGTGAATATGTTTAAAAAAAAAAAAAAAAAAAAGTAGAATTTGATTGTATGCAGTGATCTCAGTGTGGCTATATCGGAGAAATGTCAGTTAGCGCTGTTTCCGAGTGCAGCCTGAACACAGTTGCACAGGTTGTCAAATCCAATTTTGGCTCGATGCTCAGACTCCATTGGTCCAAAAAAGAAGGAAAAATAAGTTGTTGAAATTTTTCCCTTTAGGTTTTGTGCCACATTTTCCTGTTTTGTGCTCTCTGATTGGTTCCTGCTGGTTTCGTATATATTCAGTGACAAATCAGACCAATGTGGCTAAAACCTTGCCTCCTGACCAATCATGTCGATGAATCACGTGTGACCCTGGATCATATATATATTTTAGATGTGTTCGTTGTTGACCTTTGATTTCAGCATATGTTTTGTAATGACAAAGATCTCAACATGTTTCCTTTCTTTCCCCCCCCCTCCCTTCATTTACCATACTCCCCTATCCTCCTTACTGCCCCCCCTCCCCTCACTCCTTAAACCCTCCTCCCACATGCCGCCAGACTTCTCGTCCTTCAGCTTGCAAGGCTGCTGCATTGCAGGAGCACACGGAGGGATAAGTGGGCGAAACTCCTCCAGATGCCTGCCGGAGAGAGTGAATTGTGAGCACTGTCTCGGTTTGACCCGCCTGAGTTGAAGCCATACAGCTCATAAAACACAGGGGAGCATCGCATAATGAAAAGTTGAAAATGTTGAAATGCTGCTAATGGGATTTGCTGCTAGCCCTTATTTAAAATGGTTTTGTGTGCAACATCGTACCTGTTCTAGTTTTTAAAAACAAAGCTCTCGAGTTGTGTTTTCCTTGTGCTGTGGGGTTCTGTGTGTCCAGATGCATTTGCATAGTTGTTTCCTGATAAGACTTTTCATATTTAGTTAGGTTGGATTTTTTTTCTCTCCACTGATTAGAAATTTTTAGCTTTTGTTTGTTATACTGGCAGGCTGCTTGAGAGTTGAATTGGCATTGAATAAAATATGTCTGGACATGCAGAACATAGTGACCTAAAACTCACCAACACCTTTTCTTTTTTTTTTTTCAAGTATAAAGTTTATAGGTTTGTGTTCACATGCTAAGCAGCGACTCTTCTGAAATGATGTAAGATTTTTTTTATTTTATTTAATGCAGGCTTGTATTCTATACATCTGATGTCTCAGATTTTCAGCACTGAAACAGCCCAGGATGTTTGTCTTTACATAGAAAAATCATCCAGATAACTAATGTACACATTTTCATTTAATACCCCACCCCTCCCAATTTTTGTGTATTTTGCTCCTATGTTGGTGTATACCTCCATCAGTCTTTGTAACTGCTTTTTTGACCCTTGAAGAACTCCCATCTCCCTCTTTCCCTCCACCTTTGTTCATTTCTTTTTCTTTTTTTTTAACTAGTTTTTTGTAGAATCTTCTCACTTTCTCTTCTTCACTCCTCCCTGCATGATGTTTCAACCTCTCTCCTCTCCCCTGACTCTCTAACCAGTATTTCTCTTTTGTCATTCTTACCCTTTTTTTCCTCTTATGTTGGGTATGTTTGTGACTGCCGTGTGCAACTCTCACTAGTAAGTATTGTATCCTGTCTGCAGTGCTTTTAATAGTTTGTGTTGCAGCACTTTAACAACTGAAGCTGAAGGTCTATCTGCAATGCGCCCTCCCTATCCCTCATTCCCATGGCTACATAGATCTGATAGGATAAACTGCCATTTTGTAAATATTGTGTACATATCTTTTGGAAAGACGTCTAATAAAAAAAAAAAAATAGTACAGAGAGCACATACTGTCTTTTGTTTTTTTCTGGAGTTGATTGATTGAAATCTAGCAGTTCAGTGGAGCACAGAGTTGCTTGCAAACAGTTTATTATGAAGATGTTGAATGATGGCATCTGTGATAAAGCAGATCAGCTAGCAGACGAAGCACGATGGTTTAATGTTCATTCATATGGTGATAGTTTTTACTTTAACCAACACAGATTAAAAATCCTTGAGAGCAGCTGGAAAAAAGTTAGTGTGGAAGGTTAAAGATGTAGAAAGTGCAGCAGGAAAAAAAATCATTTTGTCATGCAAACAGCAAAAGGCATATAATGGCAAAGGACAGTTCAGTTTAAAAATAGCAAGAAAGCTGGCAAACGAAAAAGACTAAACGCTAAAAGAAATACTAAGAAGAAAAAAGGCAGAAGCAGAGCAGCGAAACGGTACAGAAGAAATTCACACGAGGAAACAAACGTGGAGTAAAGAAGTTGTTGCATAAAACACTTATAAGACTTAATAAGAAAAGATTAAAATGCATTGCTGATCTATCACATGAGGTGAAACTTACAAAGGAAATGAAACAAAGGCCAATAATCTGGAAGTTTAGAATGTGCAGAAAATAGAAAACAGGCCCAGGATGGTTTTCATACATGTAGAGCATGAATACTGGCACTGAGTGTTAGAAGGAGGAGGGGAAAATATGAGAATGATGCAACTAAACAGTAAGCAGTGAAATCACACAAAGAAAATAAAAGAAGGGTTTGTTTGGGTTTTTTTTTTCTATAGCATTGTCGATGTAATGTTGCGTTGCCGCAGAAGAAAAACCAGAAACCCAGGGAGTGAGGAGAAGCAGAATAAATAAAGAACAGAAGAAATAGAGGAGAAAAAAGTCTGATTTATTCAGAGGTAAACATCAAACAAAGCAGAATAGAGTAAAACAAAGCCAAGAAGAACTAACGGATACAAGAAAAGAAGTCATTTAGCAGTAATGAAGGAGAAAAGAGGGAGAAAATACAGGACAGTGACCCTCCGGTCATCAAAGCTCAAGCAAGGTAGCAAGGAGTGAAGCCAGAAAACAGAAACTACACTGTGTTAGTATTTATGAACAGAAAGGTAGGAAAGGACTCAAGAAACTGCAAACAAGGATTAAATGTAACGGCTGTATGAAAAGCTAAACATGTAGATTTAGAGGTAGATTGTTAGAAATAAAAATAAGTCCAGCTGATAAACATTATTTCTGTGCTTTTAGTTGCAATATCAGTGTCGCAGCCAAATCGCTCTCTTGATGTTGAAACTCACAGACATTCTCTCACACACACACACACACACACACACACACACACACACACACACACACACACACACACACACACACACACACACACACAGTAGATAAATGGCAACAAAAATAAATCATTTAAAATTGTACAAAATGTTTTTTGCACAGTTTGACCCCTGAAAAAAAATCCCAAATTATTAAACACAAGAATCTCACAGTATTTTTTTAACCACTTATCCAAAAAAAAAAAAAAGCAAAGCATTAAAAGGTTTCAAGCAACAGCGTCTCCTACGTATTCTCCAGCAGAGCGGATGGTAAGTGGGTCCTACAGTATTTTAACCTTCAGTCTGTTTAGTCTCCCGAGGAGAGGTTGTGATGGAGACAGGAGGTGACACCACGTGTGCCACATTTCCGAGGTTGTTTTTAAGGATTATTGTAATCTGCCCTGCAGTGTCCCAAAGTTCAACAGAGATGCCCGACGACCCTGCCCTTCACCGGGCCTCAGTAGGGGGTGAAGCGGTTGTATCCTCCTCTGTACAAACTGGCCTGTTGACAGTAGTAGGGTGAAAGGTGCAAGTTAACCACCGTGATGTATTTCTCAGATTAAGCTTTGTTTACTCTGATAGCTGCTCACCATTGTACCGACCCCATATGTTGTTGGTCCGACTGAGTGGTGATAGGCCTCTGGAGCGTAAACCCGTCCATATCTGTTTAAAAAAATAATAATATCATGACTCCAATTAAACTTTGTTTCTTATTAATGTATCTGCAAATGAAATTCTGCAAATTCTTTATGATTAATGAAAGCCAACTGAAGTCAGGCATATATGTGAATTTTTTTACATTATGTGAATATTCTGCCATGATTAATGTGAGCATCCAGCACTGTAATAAGTTATGTGATGGAAACCAATCAAAAGCACATTTGGTACTGAATAATATCTGAAGTATCTTACAAAAACAGTACTTTGGGTGTTATTATGATATTGTTATCCTTGGAAGAGCCACACATCCCTTTGAGGTTGTGTTTGGAAGGCCATCTGGCATAAAAATCTGCCAAAACAAACATGTGGATCTGCCCACTGTGGCGACCCCTTGTGACTAAGGGAGCAGTTGAAAGCTTCTTCTTCTACTAGCAGTTTGTGTGTTATTGGTTAATTTAAAGCTGCTTAACAAGGCCCATAAAATCCTTGAGATAAAAACAAGAACGTAATCTCAGGTGGGATCTTTGAGCTACACAGGAACAAAAAAATGAGGTTTTTTATTTTACATACTGTGTCCACTCACAGTAAATGTTACAAGATAAATTCCTGACTGTTTGAGAAAATCCAGATCTTTACTTCCTGGCACAAGGCAGAATATTTTCAAAAGCTGTGTTTATCTTGATAAAAGTTACAAAAGCCAAGTTTGAGTTCAAAGGGTGAGCTCTGTGTAGGTAGGAAGACATTTTCATGGGAATAGCCGAAATGCTCCAAATAGGTTTTGTGTTTCTGCTCAGGTAAAAGCGGTATATACTATTAGGCACACAGCTGCTCAGTGGTACTGCTGAAGCTCAAACACAGCATCAGAATGAGCAAGAACATTCATCTTTGTGTACATTGTTTGTCTGTTTACCCATCACTGTAGGTCGCTGTGGCAGCAGATGCTGACTGAGCCACTCTGTATGCTGCAGGGTATCCGCCCTGCATGGGAAAGATGAAGCAACAATAAAGCAGCAGCAACTGATTGACTGATTAAAAAAGTAAAGATATGAGTAGAGTTCAGCTGCGTACATAGACTTCTGCTCCATACAGTCCATCCTGATACACAACCCTGAAAAAAAAAAGAATAAAACATTATCAAAATGAAAGTAATTGGATATAAAGCCGACACCGGTGCTCAGAGTCTTACCCAGGGTAGGTGGGGACAGCAGCAGGTGTGGTTGCAGTGGAGCGAATTGTGCTGTAGACAGCTCGACCCCGACCACGCAGCGCTGAACCGCGGTAGGCCAGCGTAGGAGTCGCTACAGGGTACGGAAAACTGGCAACTAAAATAGAGGAGAGGAAAAAAAGTAGCAGGAGGAGTGAAATGGCAGTGCTGATCATCTCTTCAGAGCAATATGTCAGCATGAAAGAGGGAAACCTTTAGTTACCTGTATAGAGCTCAGGTGCGTACATGGCCCCCATGACCGGGTTGATCTTCCAACCGGAAGCTGCAAAAACAAGGCCTCTATTAAAAACAAGCTCCAAAGATTAGTCAGGACCCAAATATTAATGAGAAGTTTCTTACTTGAGATTTCACCGTTCACGAGAGGCGTTTGGGGTTTCTTGGTAACTACTCGTGCAGTGGCATTATTAACCTGGGGATAAAATAATAAGGATAATCACGGAAACAGAAAGTTAAACCTACAACACAAAAGCTGCGTGATTTCCAGCCATGTGATCAATAAATATCACTTAGGTATAATGTCCAAGGGAAGTTACAGGGTCATAAATACATTTATAGTGAGGTGGCCATTTTTTTTCTCTCTCTGGGTAAAACAAAACTGCATGTTTGTTTTCTAGTTTTAAAAAAGAAATGGGGAAATCTCGCTTTACCTCGATCTTCCTCCCTTCCACAATTGTCCCGTTCAGCTTTTCTCTTGCTCTGTCAGCCTCGGTAGCATTCTCGAAAGTGACGAATCCAAAGCCCTGTGTGTTTGCACGGTTATATGTTTACTGATGAATGATTCCCACGTTGGTTTAAAAGCACTGATCATATTTCTGAGCTGCTCACCTTTGACCCCCTCTCATTGAAGATAATCTCTACATCGAGGATCTTGCCAAATTGCTGAAAGTGTCAGAGCAATTTTCACAGAGTGGAAATTGTTGGATTCAACATGAAAACATGGGCTCTGTGTATGTGTGAAGCTCAGAAACGAGGTGACTGTCATACCCCAAACATCTGGCGGAGGTCTGGGTCTCTAAAGCGAAAGGGGATGTTCGAGACATGGAGGCGTTTCGGTTGGGTTTTACCTGACCCCTCTTCCTCGCTACCGCTTCCTGCCCCGCCCCCCGATGACACGGACACACCGAGAGACTGGGGGTCAGAGGTCACGGGGACCAAAGAGTCCTCCTGACAGTGAGAAAGCACGAAACAGGACAAGGAGGCAGAGGAAGAGGAGGAGGCAAGCAAGTGGATAGAGGAAGAATGGACGGGAAGAACAAAAAAAGATGGAAAACAAAAGATGGAGAGGGTGTGAATGAGGTGGGACAGATGTGAAGAAAAATTGGGAGAGGGCATCAGTAGAAAAGCAAAGAAGGAAAAGAGAAAAACAAACAAACAACAAAGTAAATTCAACAAATTCAACATGTTCCAGAGAATTTCATGTTTAGGTAAAAACTCCAGTTGCGTAAGCATCACATGGCATTAAAGCTCAAAGATCACTTTCATGAGATCAAGTGAACCAAACCAAGTTCAACCAGCATTCAGCAACCAGTGAACCTTCTCAAGCAAATGTAAGGAGGCGTGGAAGGGGCTCCAGTTTAGTGAGGCGTCGTTGAATACATGCCTGTAGGAGATTAGGACAGTGACGCTAACAATAAACGCCAAATGTCTGGTATTAAAACTGCTCATTCCAGCCGTCGTGAAGAGTGAGAAGTTGTTTTAAGCTGTTTTCAGACTCTAACTCAAAGTTTCCCACAGTGGCTCTAACAACTACTTGTTTTACCTTAGTATTAAAGACATACCTGTGCTAGATTAACTTATATAAACTGCCCCATGCAGAAAAATTCAAGAACTAATGTGCCGAAACCAAAACATTCACTATCCCACAATGCACCACGATGCTAGTGTGTGTGCATGTATGTGCATATATATATATGTGTGTGCAGGTGTGTTGGCCAACCAGCATTGTTCAACCATTGCAAGAAAAGTGGTTAAAAACATATAGATTTGAAAGAAAATCTGCAAAAAAGGGCAACAAACTAAAACCAGTGAGCTTCAGCAGCAAGAAACAAAAGGAAGAGGAGGAGCAGGGAGCACAAAAATGAACGCGAAAAAGAAAAATTACTGGGAGATGTGCTACTCTAATGGGAATAAGATTACACTCCCAAGCCCTGAGTATTAGCAGTCTAGTACCACGAGGCAGATAAGGAGTGAAAAAGGCTTCAGTAAACAAGGCAAAGAAGGTGCACAGAAAGGGGACAGAGTTTAAAACTGAAGGGTCAGTGGGGGACGGGTGGGGTGGGGGGGGGTCACGGTGCTGCTTTTTTGCCAAAGGTTAAAGTCGTTCGTCAGGGGGCATCATTAATAAGAAGGAGACAGACAGAGAGAGGTACAGAAACACATTCATACAGACATATAAATGCACACAGGCTACTACTGGTGTACACTACACTGGCTCGATGTGGCTTCAACTGTAGACAGCAGACCCACACACACGCACACACACACACACACGCACATACAGGCCAGAGTGGAGGGGGGGGGGACAGAGGTACAGAGGGTTGAGTTGGGTGGTGGTGTCATTGTCACGATGCAGGATTGAGTTCTGGACCTGAGCGATATTTCAGACGGGGGAAAGGGGGGGGAATCATCCGGTCAGCCTCACCCCGCCCCCCCCTTTTTGACCCCCTCCCTCCGTGGCGACGTCTCAACTTTCCCCGAAAATCATCACGGACCCGAGTATGTCTGGGACTCTAGTGATAAAATATATAAACGGGGCCATAAAACACCATTTATGAGAGGAGGAAGGGAGAAGCAGGACACAGAGCTGACCTGCCACACAGATCAGACGGCTCTGCGTGTGTCAGAGTAGATGTTTCCATGTCTGAAGGAGACTTCTGCACTGCAAAAACAAAACAGTCACACACATCTCTGACCACATAACTCATGTCTTCATGAATAAGAAAAAAAAAAATCTGCTAATCCGTTAAGAATATTTAAACCTGTTCCAAGGTGAAATCACATCTTCAAGTAACCACTTCTGCAAGGTCTCAAAAGGTTGGTTCTGTTCATCTGGATGAACCGTTTTCAGTGGGAGAAACGTTTCGTCACTCATCCAGGTGACTTCTTCAGTCTCAGCTGACTGCAGGTTTCCCCAACCTTATAAACAGTACATTTGTATAATGACTGAAACTAGCACCACTGAATAAACAGTGGGCTGTGATGTCAGTTCCTTGAGCATTAATATGCAAATTGTCATTGATCAACAACCACTGATCAAGGACGAATGATCAATGGTCATGAGTACCATTCACAGAGTTGGGGAATGGCTGCAATCACAGCCCGATGAATCAAACACTGATGCACTAAAAAAATAAAATATATTTTTTATATTTTGTCAGGATGTTTACTAAACACTCCAGTTTTTAGAAAATAGAATTTTAAGGGTAGTCAAAGGAGCTTGCAAAGAAAAGCGTCTGGACTTCTTTAAGTTGCTTGACGACGTTTCACCTCTCATCCGAGAAGCTTCTTCAGTTCTAAGGTCAAATGGCGGAGAGTCCCAGATTTAAACCCAGTGGGAGTTTCCCCCCAAAGAGGGACAAAAGGACCACCTGATGATCCTCTAATCACATGAGCCAAGGTGTGAAAACGGGTGTGGGTCCCAATCAGCCAGAGTTTCAGGTGTGTTCATTGTGAAACCTGGCCCCACCTTATCATGCGATTTCCTGAGGTCAGATGGCCCAGGGTGTGAGTGGGCGCTAAGACGTCTGGGGAGGGAACTCAAAACTGGATTATAGATGGTGTCGTAAACCATCGCCCCTGTTCAAAGATGGTCGCTTACAGTGGACATAGATGGCTTCTAATTTTAAGGGTAATATTTATTTCAGGCTTTACACGGTTAAGATACGTTTTTTCAAAATAAAATAATAAATATGTTTTTTTTCAATTACAGACCTGGGAAGTGACAATAGGTCTCTGCAGGCAGTGTGAGTCAACTTTCTCTCGTGTGTGTTGCTGTTTTTTTAATCAATTCAGTGAGAGTGGCATGGTAAATTTTGCTTTCAAACTGTAAAGCCTGGTTCTGCTGGTTGTCTCTTCCTGCTAAAAAGGTTTTTTCCCTCTCATATTGCAGGGTTTTTAGCTTACAGTATTAAGGCCCTTGAGGCAACTGTTACTGTGAATTTGTAATTGTAAATGAGCTTGAAATTGAATTCAAATTGCTAATTAGGAATGATGCAAGTAGCCTACAGCTTACTGGTGGTCATTATTCTGCAAGTAGGCTAACAAAAAAATCACTTTGATTTTAACCTGATGGCAGCACAAGATGGAAATTCTAGAGAGCCCCTCAAGTTCTGAACTGTGTAATTGTATAATATAGTTTATTACAATTTCCAAAAGATTCCAGCAGATTAGTAGCCTGTTGTAACAACAATTCCTCATCGTTTTATCAAGTTATTTCATTCAAAATCAAGAGGAAACATCAGGCAGCTCATAAAGACTGAGGCCAGTGTGATCTGTTTGTGCATTAATGTGTTCTCTGTTATTGTAGGGTCTTTATCTTACAATATAAATGGAAATTAAAGACGCTCCCACAGTGCACCGATGCTGAAGTGGTGCAGGCCACACACAGAAAGAGATCAGCAGCAACCAGAGACCACAGGGTGTCAGTGAAATTCATCAGTGTGGTAACTGCCAGTATGAGTAAAGGACACTGCTGCCACACCACCGGCAAGATTACACTGAAACATTTGAGGTAATAAACACGAGGGTTATCTACGCAACCAGCCAGGAACAGCTGCAGAGCAATGACTTTAGATTCAACTGAGGCTAAAATTATAATGCAGGTTTCTTCCCTTGATTTAATAAAAGATTAATTTGGTTTTTAAAAGAATATGTAAAGCAAATTTGATGGTAAACAGGTTGAAATAATCTTATCGCAGTAGCAGAATGAAGACACAAATTATCTATTAAAAATTCTCTTCAGTTTCAAAAACCATTTGTTGATACATTTTTAAAGATGTAATCATTGTTTATCCTGTACCAGAAATGATTTCATCAGACAAATCACAAAAGCCTGACATGGACTTTATAAACATCCTTCAGATAGCTTAAACTGTAAACTGTAAGTATCAGCACAAAGTTTGAGTGGCGATCTGGAAAGGTGATCAGTTTTATTGACACTTAAATGAGACCTGGGGGAGGGAGAAAGGAAAAGTGGGCATTTATTTTCATCAATAAATCCCTTATCAGCTGCCTCGACATTTTGCTCCACAGAGGGTGACAGGCATTTCCATACAAGGACACCGCGGTGGACATGGGGCTCTAAATATAGAAGGAAACCCTATCTGGGCCTGTTGCTCTGCAGAACATGTGAAAGTGCTACCTGTCGACTTACTGACGATCATGTTTTATTGGCCTGGAACATCAACATTTGTCACAGACCGCTCTTACCGTGTTGCCAGATGTCAGAGAGTCGCCCCCATCGTGCTGAGGGCCCTGATAGACTCTGAGCTGGGGATGTTCCTGGTACTCTGAGCTCGGATGTGCAGAGCTAAAGTCGAGAGTTGCCAGTCTGCTGGCGGATGTTGGGGGACCTTGACCTGGTGGGGGGTAAGAGGGAGGCGGGGCATAGACCTGAGGCAGGGCAGGGTCTGCGCTGCCTGGGGCAGCCTCCTGAGTGGGGGCCCCCTGAGGAAAAGAGGAAGAGGGAGACGAATGAGCCACTCATGCCAGAATATGACAGCGTAGATGTAAACAAACAAAACACAAGATGTTGTTGTTGATCTTCTGTTTTT